GTGTTTGTATGCCCCTGCTCTTCAAGCAGAGTTGTACATTGTATGAATAAAGGCAGGATAAAATGCTAAAGCAGTGACTTCAATGCTTGAGAAGCTCCCTGGGTGCTTTGCCATGCAGGGTCTGTAACAAACAGTGCTGCAGGGCAATTCTACCCATGGACAGGAAGTTACTGAGAGTGGCTGTTCAGCAAGGAATGCCACATGTGGATTTCCTTAATGAAATGCTCATTCAACCCCACTTACTCCATAAACACTATTTTTCCCCTTGAACTCCCTTCAAGATGCATCCCTTTCATTTCACTTGCTCAGGATGGGAAGAGTGAAGAGAAGGAGACAGCTAGGTTCTTGAGGGAACAAGAACATAAGCAGCAGATTAGCAGCAAGTGCTCCCCTGGCTCTTGCTCCTATGTATGCCAGCAGTGTGAGTCCAGGGAGCCTAGGAACAGGAACGAGGAAGGACCCTGGCTTCTTTGCCTAGCTTATGTGCAGAAGAGGCTGAATTATAATTACTCCAGGTATTTGGTAGGGCATCACTTGCCTTGTAAATAAGGCTGGTAGATAAAGGCTGAGGAAGAGGGCAAACTCCAGATGCAGCTTCCCTCTCTCCCCGTTCTCCAGGAATGTAGTAATGGAGATGGGCAGATTCACTGTCCCTGTTGTGTGCAGCTGCAGGTATTGGGCCAGCAGCTTTGAAGGTGAGTGTTCTCCATCCTTGAGGCCTTCTGCAGGACATGTGAAGGTGACAAAGGGGATGCTGAGTCTAACAGTGATGGCTAGTGTTAGCCTGCTGAGAAGGCAGTAGTAAAGTGCAGTTGATGCTGTGCTGCAAAGGGGTAGCAGCATGTCCTTGCGGTTGCTGAGTGTGACTGAGGGAGTGTCAATGCAGTATCTGTCACTCAGCACCCTCTCTGTGAAGGAGCATTCCTCATTGCCATTGTAGCAGTGGGATCTCAGGCTCAGAAAGATGAATGACTAGACCTGTGGATCAAATACAGATTACTCAGTCCTCTCCAAAAGACCATTTCTCTCTCCTTTCCTGAATTTTAATGATATTAGCAACCTCTAAGCACCAAGAGTCTCATAAACTTTCCAGATTATGGTAATAATAACATTGTACACTACACTGCACTGGGAATAAAGTTATTTTATCCACTCCAATTTCTTTTTGTTTTAATGTATTAATATGTCAAGTGAAAGCATTGTAGGAAATCTCAGTGCAGAGGCCAAATGCATTGCAAGCCAGCCCTTTCTTCTAATGCTGCCTGATGTTTTTTTTTCCCCTCCCCCTTGTAAAACATCTGGCACTCAGTATTTGGCTGGTCTAGTTTCTCTGGAGGACCTAGTACTGGGAGCCCTCCCTAAATCGATCTCTTACCTGGAAGTGGAATGGAAGTGATGATACTCCTGTCCCTCAAAATGATGGGGAAAAAAGGGAGGGGAACAATCTCTCTTTCCCCCATATTAGTCATTAGAGATCTTCCTTGGCAGCCTGAGGAGGGGGATTCTGCCCCAGCAGGACTCACCAGGGCAGGTTGTTCTTGTGGAGCACTGCAGAGACTAGCTGAGATTACTGCCTCGTTTATAGCACCTGGCCTCATGCTCCAGCCTTTCTTTGCCCTCCTAGAGATCTTCTGTGAAAGTGTTTACTCTGACAGGCATGGTCCTGCCATCCTGTTGTGCTGGCAATGCGCAAACCGTCTGTGCGCTGAAATCCTCCAGGAGACCTGGGATGATGTCAAACAATAATGTATTCTTTCTGTTCAAGCACATTAAAAGTGCAATTAATCCTCACAATCTCTCTGCCCATCTGTAATGCAGCATGAGGTGACTTTCCCAGTCGTTGCGTGCTGTGGCAGGCCGAGCTTGGACCAGAGACCTTCCCAGGTGTCATCTTGTGATTTAATGCAATTCCGTAAGAGCTGGGTTGGTTCATTCATTGCTCAGGCCCCACTATTTTATGAATGTCGGATTGTAACCAGAGGCAGAGTTTCTCAGACTCCTATGCCAGTTACACGAGTACTTTTCTTTCCAAGACAACTCCAGGCTCCCTTTTGAGGGATCTGGGTTCATATGGGGTTTAAGACATGGCAAAATGGTTGTTATTCTACTAGGACCTGTGCTGTCATTGCAAGAGAGATGTTACAGCTCAAGCAGTGGAGATTCACTTAAAATGGTGTCCTTTTCCAGTGAATGTATCTGAAAGGTATCGGTGGTGATAATACAGGCAAGTTAAGACCTATGAACAAAGCTGGGTGTGCACACCCTTGCTTGTGAGCTTCATTGCAGCTCAGTGGATCCAAGGAGAATCTGGGAGAAGAGGACAAAATTATGACACACGGCTTATCCCTAGGGTTATTGTTTTGCCATGTATGTGCTTTGTATTGCCAAAAAAGAAGTAGTTTATATAATATTTCTATCAAACTCAGAGAGACACCAGCAAATTACCACAAGGTATTTGGGCACCAGAATAGTTGCACAAAACCCCTCTAATCCTGTACCATTGTGTCTAATGAATCTGCTATGGAAATTACCCAGGTGACAGGGAAGGGTTGCACAAGACTGGTGAAACTGTGGAAGTGAGATGGCCAAAGGGAAACAAATGTAAGTTGAAAGAATTACCGCGTGGGATACAGCAGAGCATCTGAAGGAAACATTTAACTGGGAGCTACAGCTGCACATAAATATTCTGATTCTCCGTGGGGTGGCTGGAAATTAGTTTTTGCAGCAAGGTCATGTTTGAAAAGGGAGAATAGAGCCACCATCCGGCAAATGCAGCTCAGACTACGTGGAGAGGTTAGGAGAGCTTTGCTGCTGCAGGGTGCCAAGATCACATTGAAACACAGGCAACACAGGTTGAGGATGGGCGGAAATATTGTACAGGATGGGAAAGGACAGGATTTCTCTTTTAGTCATAGAGCAGGGATTCTTCAGCATCACAGCCTGGGTCTTGGCACTGTGAGCAATGCTCTGCAGTGCACGTGGGGTTAAAGGTGTGATGACAGGTCTACAGAGGACTAAGCCAAGGGCTGAATCATCTCAAGAGACTGTCATTTGGATTAAGGTATGTTGGCAAAGGTTATATACACCTTTGACTTACTCCTCTGCCACTGTTCACTTGGCAAGCATTCATGATGTCTGTTCTTGATAAGTCACTATTTTACTTAATGTATTTACATACCTGTATGTATATCCATACATGTACGTGCATGAACACACAGATGTGTACAAGCACATATATAGGCTTCTACTTTTTCCTTCTGCAATCTAGGCAACGGAAGGTCACTCATCTACTCAGTTGTATTCAGTGAAGCTTTGACAGTCCCTTTCAGCATTCCATGATGCTCAAGCCATAGCAGTCATATTCCCAGGAGCCCTGCAGAAGGGGAAGATGAGAGAAGCTGAGGGATTTGTCTGTGTTTGTGCCATCATATTCTCCAAATCCACATGTTGCTTCTTCTAGTCAACACTTTGGACAGTAATAATGATCTAGGCAAAATGCCGCCACTCTGGAAAGACAGAACAGTTACAAAAAGAGGGAGCAGCTTGCTGCATGTGCCATGCTGCTCCCTGAGGGCTGCGTGGCCATGGCAGGCTGCGCAGCCCCAGCAGCAAGAGCAGCTTGCTACTCACTAGCCCTGTGTCCACTCCTGAGTCACTGCTGCTTGGTCAGTGCATTGTGGTGAAACCAGTTCATAAAGGCTGACCTCAAAGGCAGATCTTTTCCACTGCCCAATCCCAGCCTGCCCTAGGTCTGTGCTGCTGGTTGATTTACGCTAGTTAAACCATCATAAATCTGATAAATCTGAGCACTTTCCTTGCCCAAGTGATTATGTTTAGAGCATTTTGGTCATGCTAAAGGAAAGAAGTAAAACAAACAAATAAAAGTAGTCTTTGAAGCTCAGCTAATCTTGAGGAAAAAGTGGGTGTTCAGCTCTAACGTGCAAAATCTGTACTTGTTTCAGAAGGCTGATTGCTTTAAACCCTTTGATCATGTCCTCAGTGGTTTGTTCCTTTGTGGTGTATTTCACTGATGGGAGCTAAAGCTGCAACTCCAGAGTCACCTGGAAGCATAGTAGTAAGCCAGGGAAGGGTCCCAGGGGGACTGTCGCTGAGGAGCCAGTTCCTAGACATGGTTGTGAGTTTCTCTGTTCCTTGAAGTGAGACTGGAGTTTTCCCCTGGAACAAGTACAGGTGTCCTGTTGGGCTGTGCAGTCACCTTCAATACCTGTCAGCTGCTTCAGCGATCACACAAACGCTTTCGGAGCCAAGGGCTGTTTGCACAGGATTCCAGAGCAGAATTTTCTTTCTGTGTATTTTCCACTTCACTCCTTTTCCTGGCCAGACTGGCAGTAACTGGTCTCCACTTGAAGCCCTAGCTGGAGAGATCCCTAGAGTTTATGGGTCCCGTGATCCCACAGAAAATGTTTCCTCTGGCTCAGGACTTAGATTTCAGTGTAATTTGGGAAAGATTTGTTTTTCCTACAGAGTGTGCTGTGCCTGGGATGTTGCTAAAAGCTCTACAGAGCTTCACGACCCTTTCTGACTCTGCTTGGTAGTTATCCCAGCCCCCTGCAAAGTAAATCATAGTAATCTGGCCTCTTTTAGACAGTTGTAGAGCAGTTGTGATTTGACCAGTTCCCTGCTTTAACTGCTCACACAAGCTCCTCTCTGGAAGACGAGAGCAGGGAATTCTTGGTTCTCAGCCTGCATGAGAGTCTCCCCCAAAAACTCCATGTTGGGCTTTTCAGAGCCTAAAGCTGCTCATCCCAACAGGACCAAAGTTTTTAAAATAGCAGTTGATACCAGCTGCCCAGGAGATGGGGAAAATCGCTGTATTCTATCTCCTGAGACCTTTGTGTCTCATATCCAGCACTCTCTGGCTCTTCCTCTCTGTGTCTCAAGAGGTGGCTCTTCCACCCTGCCGCTGGAGCAGCTACCATGGGCACAGGGGGCTGGCGTGCTGCTCGCTTCCCTCTTTACCTCTTCTTTCCTCTCTGCAGCTCCTGCTCAGGCCCAAATCATCCATGCTGGGCAGGCGTGTGTGGTGAAGGAAGACAACATTAGTGAACGTGTTTACACAATTCGGGAGGGGGACACGCTGGTCCTGCAGTGTCTGGTCACAGGACACCCCCGGCCACAGGTAAGCTGTCCATCTTACCTGGCACCTCTCTGCCCATGGCAACTCTCCGTAGTCTCCACATAGAGGAGATTTGTGGGCAGCAGGGTGCCCAGCTTTCTCCTACATATTGGAGTCAAGTAGGGATGCCTTGTAGTACAAGCACTAGCCCGTTAAGCTATTAAGCATCTAGTCCTGCTTTTGCGGAAAACAGTCCACAGAGCTTTGCAGAAGCATACACGAAGTTTCTAGTGGTCATCAGTATGTGAAGACCCCCAGAAAACTGAAAGCTCAAACTGAATCCATTACATAAACCACCCTCAAATCTTTAACCCTCTTACTGCAAAGTAGGAACAGCTTGAACAGGTTAGAGGAGGCTTCCCGCATGTGTTGGTCACAGGAGTTGTTCCTTTATGATCCTGCAGTCTCTTAGCTTCTCTGGATGCACAGCCAAGGGGAACCTGCTTGGGGAGTTGGGGAAGTTGTTCATCCTGAGCCCCATGCAGACCCTGCTGGTCATTGCTTAATGTCCACTGACCAGAGGCAGATTCAGACTTGCAGTGTTGGATATGCCCATGCTGTGGTCAAAGTCACAGTTCAGTGCAGAGCTGAGCTTGAGTAACTGCTGCAGTTCTTCCCCAGGGTCCCTAGAGGGATGCATAGCCTCAAGCCCCATTCAGGCACCTCTCCACCCTTCAGATGCTCAAACAGGCAGGTTCAGTAATAGTGTGGATGTATCTATAGAGATACTGAACCAGAGCGTGGATCTGCCTGCTCTGGGACAGAGTGTGGTAGGAATGGCAGCTAGTGTGTACTACGAGGCTGGATGTGACAGAATACGCTCAAGGGAGCCAGGTACAGTATGTATGTCTTCTTGTCCTCCTTCCCAAATCCTGCCACAGATACCTGTGCTGAGAAGGCATGTATCTTCATACACCAGTCAATGCCACTGTGGACTTGCTTTTGAGTAGCTACTTGGCTAAGAGGCAATGACAAAAGAGAGGGAGAGAGCTTCAGCCAGCAGAATTTGAAACGGTTTATCCATCAAAGCATATCCTGGAAACAGTAAAAAGGAAATACTCTAAGACAGCAAAAACAACCAGCCTAGGCTCGTGACAGTGATGGGCAGATGACAGCTCCGTATGTCAGAAACTAAGATGATGGTCTAGCCCTACCTAAGGATGTTGAATGTGTGTGAAGGTGGTAGCAGGTTGCAGGGGCCTGAGTAGCCAGAGAGGTTGCTGGAGCAGAGCCTGATGCAGACAGCATGCTAGTGGGCAACACTGTGGCTTGCCTTTGCCTGAACATGCACAGGGGACACCAGACCCACAAGGCATGACCCACACACATAAAACATGGCATGTGTCCTATGTCTGCCCTCCCTCCTCATTGATAGATTTCTCCCCCAGGTAAGCTTGTATCTTAACCTTTGTTTCATCTTTTATTTTCCCTTCTATCAGCCAGTCATTAAAACATGAAAATGTGGCCAAAATACTTAAATGAGATTAAAATTGAAAAGATTAAAGAGCTGGCTGAAGTGTCCTTGCAAACAGGAGACTCTGAGAGTCTTGGGGCCCTTAGACAATTTCATAATAAGTCTACAAATGCTAAATAAATCCACAGTCATTAGCTCCAGAAATCTGCTCAACCTAGTGCTCTGGGGATGGGATGTGCACACCCCTGCTCTTTTTAGCACATCAGCATAAGTCAGGAGGTGGCAGTGAGTTTCAAGTAAAATCTGGCAGAGGGGTCAAGGTTTCTGGTCCATTTATCTGTGGTCAGTGTTGAATGAAAGTCTCCTTTCTATTTGCTGATCTTGCCAGATCTCAGTCCCAAAGTCTGGATGGGCACCAGTGTGGGAGACCACCAGTCACCAGCCTTTAGAAAGGACGTTGCAGAAACAGAAAACCAGTGGTCTGAGAAAAGCTGTCTCTCTCTTTCATTGTCTTCACTCTCTCTTTCATTGTCTGGGCTGCAGAAAACAAGGGGGAAGCTTATACTGTCGCTGTTAGGGCTGTACCTCATTGCAGATGTAAGAATAACCATTCAGTCTTTAGGAGTTCTGTCCTCTTACCACATTCACCATGAATTATCATGCAGATCAGTTACCCTTGCAAGCCAAGATCTTAAGACATGTAACATAAGGACAAAAAATGCAAGGTAGCTTGGAATCTGAAGGGATTTTTTCTTTTCTTTTTCTGTATCTTTAAAATCAAGATAAAAGCTTGTGCACTGCAAAAGGATGGCTTATAAAAATAACACGCACAGGGGCTCCCTGTGGGAAAGGGGCAAGAGCCAGATAGCAGCTGCATTTTCTCACTCTTTCCTGGAAAAGCATAAAGCAGAAATAGCCTTGCTGTCCAGAGAAAGGTGTTTACTGCAATAAAAGCTCTGTAGCTGTGAGCTCATGTATGCTTTAGCTTTGTGGCCTACCAGCGGCATGGGGTCCCAAGGCTTAAAGCTCAGAATCCTGTGTTGTGCAGATAGTGGTGTAAAATTAAACAAGCTGCTGGGTTTACAGGACCAGGGCAAAAGTGGTAAATATACAGTGTGTGTTTGAGGGAACCGAGGGGTTATCCTGGACTCTCAGATGTGGGGATTAGTGATGGATGAGAATCAGCAGCTGGTCTACCAAGACATACTGAGATCAGTAGTTGAACTTTGGTAAGGTCTGGGGGTGCTGTAGGGCCAGTTTTTGAGAATGGCTAGGGAGGAGGGGAAGAGGAGTAAAGCTGTCACTTGGGGTCTCTAGTTTGTGTCACTGATTGTTTGCATTCCTCTCATTCTTCTCATGCAGGTGAGATGGACCAAAACTGCCGGCAGCGCGTCGGACAAATTCCAAGAGACGTCAGTGCTTAACGAGACCCTTCGGATTGAGAAGATCCAAAGGCTGCAGGGGGGCCGCTATTACTGTAAAGCAGAAAATGGGGTTGGGGTCCCTGCCATCAAGTCCATTCGAGTAGATGTGCAGTGTAAGTCGTTTAGTGGCAACCCAGACCTTCCCACAGTTCTACTGCATGTCTCTGCCTTGCTGCGGGGCCAGCAAGGAGCTGCATTGCCCTAGGACCACATGCACCTGGTTCAGGAGCAAAGGGAATGATGCGGTGCCCCCAGGGACCACGTTCCCTAGAAGATTATATCCATCCACAAAACACATAGCTCTTCCTGTCCATGTGAGTCATTCCTACCCAGAAGCCATGATGTCAGTAACAGCCAGTGGTCCCTGGAGCTTGTCTGGGATGTAGCATTGTAGGCGCTCTCTGCTTTCTTTTTCTTTGTTTTTAAGCTGGCAATGCTTGAAGCAAAACAATGCTTCTTCAAATGGGTAATGCCTCAGATACCTGGGACATTCCTGAAACCAGTGCCCTGCTCCCAGAATTGCTACTTCTGTAGCATGGTGGAAACAGTAAAAGACTCTTGGACTCACCTGAGGAAGCTGAGCTGTGAAGGGATGAACGTGAAGGAATCTGTGAGGAACCCTTTGCTTCAGTGACTCAGGATATCTTGGGCTGGTTGCAGTGGCCATTCTTCTTGTGTCCTGGAGATGCTGTTAGTAGTTCTCCATCTGGGGACCCATGTTTGAAAGTTTCTCATGCTGGCTTATTTTTGGGCTGTTGTGACCAAAAGGAAGGGAAATTAACCTTATCCATAATCCCAATATGCGAGGAACCCAAGATTTAAGGTATAGGCAACTTTAAAAGAGGTTTACTCCCTTGGGGAAAATTACCAATGAGTTTATCATCCTTGGCTATCAACTATTCCAGTTTTCTCCAACCCAAGTAGCACCAGATCCCTCTCCTCACTCATCTTCTGAGAAGGCCTAGCCAGCAAAAGGTTGATGCTAAAAAGATGTGAAGTGTGATAAAGCAGCTGGAACTCTCCCTGAACCCATCACCTCCCATTCCCACACTCGTTTTAGCTAGACTTGAACATACTTAGGCATTTGGCAGGTTCATGATCTGCAGCTGTATTCTGTTGCTTGGAGCAGCTCCCCTCTCAGTTCTTTCCTTGCCCTGCTCTGTATTGGGATAGCATAGTGTAAGCACCATCCTACACACTGGGAAAATTAATTGCTTCAGCAGCAGCCTCTTTGGATGGGATGAGCATTTCTACATTGTCATAGCGTAGCTTTGGAGTTCTGACACCCACCTAGACTTGGTTGGACTCTCTGCCTATTTCTTCTCCTATGTGTGGTGGAAGTGTATGGTAACTGTCCATTGCAAAGGGGACTTGTCTCTCTCAAGCCTCACTATGACACCTTGCCAGGGCCTGCATCTCTAGGAAAAGGACTGTGGCATGAATCTCTTTATGCCCTGAGGCCACTCCCTTTACTTCTGGGGTGCAGGCTGGAGCTAGAGTAATGTAGTGTCCCATGGTCCCTCATGCAGCTCTGACCTGTAGAACTATGGGGCTAATGGGATAGCCAAGGGCTTTCTCATACTAACATCTACTCTGCAGATGGACTTGGTAACGCACCTCTGTTCTGCTTACCCTGGGTTTTGTGGAGGAGGGACTATTTTCTGCTACCATTTGCAGTATATACAAGGGAACACATAGGAAAAGCCACACTTTTTGTTGAACGCTCACCCAGGCAACCTTCAGCTGAATGAACCAGAATTTGAAAACAAAACCCTTCTTTCCCTACATCCCAATTTGTAGTTAGAGGTAAGTAATCACCCTCATGTCAACCTTGGTGTCCTTGACAGCTAGTGCTAGTCGTCACTCATACTTTTAGTATTAGACAAGCAAGGTTGTGCAGAGAGCACCATCGGTGCCAAGAGGGTATTAAACTGGAAATACTAACCTGTGTAACAAGTTATTCCTTTGCCCCAAGTGGGCATCAAATGAGGCTTTAAAGTACTGGTTTGATACTGGCAGAGAGGCAGCTGTTGTTTGGATTATTTCCATGTGGGAGAGAGAGAAAGTAAAGAAAAAGAAAGAATGGATGTTCACAAGCTTATATTGCACATGAAACATCCCCTATGACCATCTCCATGAGCAGCCACGGGCCAAATTTATTATTTGTGCAGCTCACTGACATCAGTGCCGTTACTTGTACATCAAGGACATACACATAGTTGTAGGTCTTATTTTAGCTTTTCTCAGGAGGGCTAGACGTGGAGCTGACTGCTATGAAAAAGCCTGAAAGATTCAAGGGAAGAAAGGTTTAGCAACCAAAAGGAAGATGGTGTTTTTGTGTGGGGAGTAGCTGGGAGCTGGGAGACCTGAATGGTGAGTATCTTCTTTGATCAGTAAGGGAAGTGTTTTACCATGCATCCTGATGAGAAATGGAGCCTCAGAAGGATGGTAGCTACTGAGTTACTCTTGTGAAGTGTGAACAAATAAGGACAAAGAAGGAGGAAAGAGGAGAGGCTGTGCTCATGGTCCTGGTCCAAAAGAATTAGGTATAAATTCAGTCACCCTAGGCACATAAAAAGAGTAGTGCATGTATAGGAGCTGTGGGTTCTTTTTTTCTACCGGTGTATATTTTTCTTCAGACTTGGGTTCTGTTTTGTTCTGGGGCTTTGGGTTTTTTTTGGTGCCTTGTCCTTGTTTTGCTAATGGCTCTACTCGTATCTCTGAGCTATGATGTGGTCAAGCAGGTCCAATTACAATTGCTGTCTACCAAGCTCAGAGCTCATTAAAATATGCAAATCTACAAGTTGATGCCTGTGATTCAGAAGACAACATATGCCATTTGGATAACAAGTTAGAAGAAACTCAGCCCTGCTTCCCTCTTCCTTTCTGGGAGTCAGATCTCCAAACTTACAGACCTCTGAAATAAAATATAGAGAAAATTAGGTGGCATAGAAGAGCAGCAGGTGATGAGCAGATGTCCTCTTCCTCTCTGCTAACATGTGCAGAAGACAGCACTGGCAGCAGTAGAGGATACTGGGTGCATGTGCCTCAGTTTCCTTGCAGTTGAAGATGGGGTCATAAGGCTTCTGAAAGTGTAGAATTGTTTCAGCTGAGCTCGACAGATGGCTTTTAAGACATGTTTAAGGGCACAGGGACAGATTTTAGTTTAGGGGGCCAGTTTGTCCCATCTTGTTAAATGGGATCTTTACACCTAACCCCAATCCCTGGGAGGAGAAAGGGCTGAGGTTTTCCCTATGCTTCCTTGATGTTCAAACACTGATGTATGGTGCAAAACCCAAGAAAATGATCCATTTTTAGCAGGAGGGTGACCTTGGGGAGCAGTGTGTTCTGAGTGGATGGAGGAAGTATGCTCCCTACAGGGCTATTGTTTGTGTCCTTGCAAGTTAAATGACTGATAGCCATTGATTTGTGATGGCTTTATGTCCAGTGCAGATATGGTGAGGGAATTGGAAGGAGCATTTTCTGTAAACGGAGAAAGCAAAAGAATCTGATCAATTTAGGGGTGGGTGATAGATAGGGATGCGGTGAATAGAAGTTACTGAAGAGGGAGAGTCAGTACAGATCCTGAAAAGAAGAAAACGCACAGAGGATATTTTAATAGGAAGAGAGAGAAATTGTGCATACCTGTCACGGTGTTTTACATCTCATGGTCCCATGGCTCCCCACGAGACTTGCTCCTGACTAGGAGATAACTCTCCACCTCAGCTCCTTGGTCTTGTCCTGATTTTAATTTTCACCCCTTGAACTGAAGGTTTGTCCTGTCATTTGTGTGGGCATCTCACAGACATGGGCTTAGCTTCATGATTTCAGCGGGAATTTGGGAAGTGGAAAGTGGGAGCAGAAGAAATTATGATGGAGCAGTTTCCTGGGAACCTTCTGACCTCTCACTGAAGTAGAGAGCAGTGATTTTGGGTGTGGGGTGCCACTGGGGCAGGTGAGGCAGCCCACTGCTCTGAGAAGCATGTGGCAGGGAGGCGATTTGCTTAAGGACTACATGGGGATCTGCGTACCAGAGGGTGCTTTCTATTCTCTGGAGGTTGTGTGGTGAGAGGGAGAATTCTGGCTTCTCCTGTGTGCTCTCTTTAGATATTTTCTGTGTTACCTGCCCTCAGATAAGCTCTTAATTCAGCAGGTGTCATCAGCCAAATGTGCGGGAGATTGCCCTCCCCTCTGTGGTGCCTAGAGCATCATCTGCTCTGCAGGCTGTTTGTGCAGACCAAGCTTCACTAACAACTGCTGCGGCCCTCCTTACCTTCCTTCCAGATCTAGATGAACCTGTTCTCACCATTCACCAGACCATCAGTGATGTTCGTGGCAGCTTCTACCAGGAGAAGACTGTCTTCCTCCGCTGCACTGTCAACTCCAACCCACCAGCTCGTTTCATCTGGAAACGGGGAGCTGAGACGCTTTCCCACAGTCAGGACAATGGTGTGGACATCTATGAACCCCTCTACACACAGGTGAAAAAAAGCAAACTTCCACCAGCTTATGTTGAGTGTCTTGGTAACCCAGCACACTGCAGTAGAGGGTGTTTCCTTCCCTGCGTGGATTACAGTGTTGGGCAGAGGGTGGGAGCTGCTGCAAGGAGCACTGTCTAAAAAAGAGCTGGTACAGCCTGCTTCTGTCTGTGGGAGCCCAGGGTACAAGAGGAGGAGTAGAGCAGCAGAAGGGCGTGTGACAGCCTTGAAGTACTTTCCCCTTTCTGGCTCTGTCCCTGAGTGCAGGCCACAGCTCCCCTAATGAGGTGACGTAGCTGTTGGATGGCAGAGACTGAAACCCAAGCAAACAATCCCAAGATCAGGTCTCCTCTGTCTCCCATTACAATTTTCTTTAATTCATTGAGTGCCCGAGCTTCATACATCAGGGGAAGTGCTTCCTGTTCAGCAGTGCGGCAAATGGCAGGCATTGCCATGGGATCCATGAAACAAATGATGAAGAGCTTTTCCTTATGCCCACAAGTAACAGGGAGTAAATGGGCAGCCAAATGGAAACACTCAGAGGGGTGAGGAGAGAGGAGAAAGCTGCAGGTTAGTGGCAGATCTGCAACTAAAATGCTTGTAGGTCAGTGCCGCTGTTTGGCCCCCAAGAGAGCTTTGTCTAGTCCAGGGTTACACGGCATCCAACTAGGACATGCCTGGCCTTAGAGGAAGCCACAGTGCGCTCTTCCAGCTTTCACTGACTCAGTGTAATTAACAGGAGACATTGCTTACTGAGAGGATGTCTTAGGACTTGAGGTATTTTATTCAGCTAAGTAAGGCATCTGGCAGGAATTTACCATGTTGCAACATTAATGTGTAAATGACCCAGCATCCCGCAGCTCCTGTCAGGACCCATCCTAACATGATGGGTCATTCCTAGCTCTGAGAGAGAGTGTAAGGACTGCTTTGCTGACACAGGCATGCCCTATGGTCCTCTCCTTAGCACCAGCATAAATCTGTAAGTTTGGGTTGGTAAGAGTTGAAGTTAACAGAAGCACACCTCTGCAACACTACTGGGAGGGGAAAATGTTGCTGGAGCTCAAAGGCACTATGTTTAATAAATCACACTTTGCAGGGGGTTGTACTATTCTGTTAGGGATGAACTGGTATCAGTGTCGGGTTTGGGTAGGCTTTTACATTAAAAAGGGGGTGAAGACTTTACTGTTTAATCTTTCTAAAACTTACCTACACTAAAGATTTATGCACCTTTACCCAACAATTACTAGTCAATAAATGAGGCCCTGTAAGTGAGTAGTTGATATACACATTGTAAATGCCATCATTTGTTTGGCATAGCAACAAATCTCAGGGGACAGGACTTTCATAGGGTTATTGGTCTCCTAGGTATTTATCTTTCTCATTTACTCAGTTCACATCATTGTTCTCTACGTATTAGCATGCCTGAGCTCATTGTCCAGTCCCTTGAGGTTGTCCTCAAGAGGATTTGTCGTGCTGAGACCTTCACACATTTTCAGGCAATTATGGAATGATTTCTCCAGAAGAGATTCAGGCAAACACAAGGAGAACAACAGTGACAAGCTGTCATGGGAAGACGTATGAGTTGCAGGGTGTGCAAACCACAGGATGAATCTTAGAGCTTTCCAGATTTCCTAAATAAAAATCTACAGAACACATCTACTGTTAATTTAACAACTTAATTCTGTTTCTGTAACAAGCCAGTAACTAATGGAGTTCCAGGTAGTGATCTTGTTTGTTTGGTTTTTATCTTGGTATGAGAAACAGCTGCCATAATCCATGTAGTTACTCTGAATTTACACCAGCATAAATGAGAATCAGGAGAAGAGAGATCAGAAAGTTCTGGGGAGTTCTTTGAGTAGTTCTGTGACTTATCTTTTCCCCTTGTACTGCAATTTTTCACAGAGCAACTGTTAAGCTTGTCATATTTAGGCTAGCATTAATGCCTGAATCCACTCTGATTTACTTTGGGTTTGCAACGTTGAGACCCCAGTAACATCCCTTGGGTTCCTGTCAGTATCTTGGTGTGAGATCTCAAGGTCTGTTCAGGGATGTTTTAAGGTTTTTCAAATTCTGAAAGATAATTCCGACTGCATTTGACAAGAAGTTATGCCTAGACCTGTTCAGCAGTGCTTTCAGGTTAAACGTCAGTCAGTTGCTGGCAGTTTTGAGAAATCCTGGAGGTGGAGTTACCACTGCAAATATTTGGTGTCTCCTTTCTGTATAGCTAGGGGAGCTTGAAGTCTGCACAATTCCCTGAGGTTTTGATGGGTGCTGCTGGCAATCTGTAAACCTTCGGACAGATTATGAACTTGCAGTGATGAGCTGTGCTTTGCACACCTGTATCTTTTCCCCTCCACTTTTTTCCCCAACTCCCAGGGTGAAACCAAAGTCCTGAAACTGAAGAACCTGCGGCCTCAGGATTATGCCAGCTACACGTGCCAGGTGTCCGTCCGCAACGTCTGCAGCATCCCTGATAAATCCATCACCTTCCAGCTCACAAATACCACAGGTAAGAAGGGACTCAGAGGGCCCTGCATCCCTCTGCCCCCCTGCCTGCTCAATAGCCATTAACCCTCCAGGAGGGTAACACTGCACCCTGTCCAGGGCCTGCAGCACCTCACATTCATATGCATGGCTGCTAGGATTAAAAATCCTTTGCGTAGAAGTCTTATGGCCAGGGATGCTCTAATTTCTTGTAGCTATGCATGCACCCAGTGCCTTGGCCAGGCCTGTCATGAGATCATTAAAGCAGACTACATGTAGGTGTTGAGCCACTATGTAGTTTTTAATCCAGACTCTGGTTTATTTATGTATAATTCTAAGTGACTTTAAAAATAGATTTGATTCAGTCCGGAGTGGGGCAGATGCTGCAGGAGTTCTTACAAATAATTTATTCATGTGTGGCTCTGGCCTGGTTTGCCAGGCTGCGCTCTCAGCATCTCCCAGCTAACAGGCTCCATTGGTGCTGATGTCTGTGGAAAGCAAATATCTCCAGTGCCTTCCCAATAAATAAATTTTACACAGATACTCATATTGGCAGTGCTTGAGTGTGCCTCCAGTTGCAAACAGAATTACTTTGGTGCCTCTTGCTTGACCTGCAATAACTGACTGATAACCAAGTGTAGCGTACCAAATATTTGCAAGGACATGATTGCAACCTGTCCATTGAAAACAAACCACAACAAAAGCACAAAGCCCCCACGTGTTGAGTATTTGCAAACAATAAGTAAATGTTTGGAAATTACTTCCAGCCCTGGGGTCTTCCATGATCAGAAGGAAAAGCATTGTAGTTATTTGAATTATTCACCTCTCTACACAAAACTACTACACAAAGTAGTTTGCATCCCTTGTGTCATCTCTGTGCAATGGTATCAGAACTTTTTTGATGTTGCCAGCTGTTGACAGGATATTGTTGATACTGTAAATTACATTTATTCATCTGACTTGGCCCCAAGGTGCATTATTTCATGTAGAAAGAAGAAAAAAATGAGCTTAAAAAAGTGAAAAAAGATACTCTTTATGTAGTAAGATCTCTGAACATGTCTCAAGCAACTCACACCTGAACACCTGAATTTCTCTCAGGATGAGACTGTAGCAGATGCTGGAAGATTCCCTTCAAAAACTTATCTTGTGCTAATGATGAAGCTCTTCTTCCCTGTTGTGCCCTTACCTTTGAAGAGTTAGAAAATCAAATTTCTCTTTATGCCCACTCCCCCCTGCCAGTCCAAGCACAGGAAATCTACCCTTCATTTCAGTCCAGCCCCTTAGAGTATGGGAAAAACGTATTTTCAGGTTGTAGCCAGGTCGGGAGACAGCAATATAGCTGAACTTACACCAGTTTTTTAAGTTCTTAACTAATCTCCGAACTTGGATCACATAGCACATAAATCTAGTTCTTTTTTCTTGTTGTTTAGTTATATATGCATATTTATACATAGTTACAGTGGAGCCTGACACTACAAGCTCGAAGGGGCCATGGCAAATGTGTTCCCAGCAAATTGTATTAAAAGCTGGCGGTGAAAATGAAGCTGGCATTGTGGTGTGAGCAAGGTTTGTGTTCAGTAACAAAAGTGTATTTAACATGAAATATTATCTGGCTTACTTGCCCTGTAGGTAGTATTGTGCATAGATGAGAAAATATTTAAAGAAAAATCTTTAATTCTCTCCTTTTATGCATGGTTCTTTTCTTTCCTTCTTGCACTTGTGCTTTAGCAATCTCTGTAGCCTTGGCTGTGCCCAGAATTCTGAGCAGCCTTGCTCAGGTTGCCTTCACCTTTGCAGCTGAGGAGGGCTCAAAATGCACAGAGGTGCATGGGAATCTATCTCTTGAATATTTATAGACACAAGTACTACAGACCTTGAGGGTCAGGTCATGTTAGGCCAAGGAATCCTCTCTTCCAAGTTCGTTTACTGCTCCTCAGCTGGCTTGCTTCATCAACTCTGGCAATGGCCTTTGGGCAGATCATAGTTTCCTACAAGGGATATGCTTTTCCCAAGCTCTTGTGTCAGTGAAGCTTTGGGAGAAGCAGCAGGGAATGGGTTCTTGGTCTGCAGCCGTAATGGGAAGGTGGTTTTATTTGCTCCTTTTCTGTCCTGTGCATGTCGTGTGGCTCTAGAGCAGCAGGTTGTGTCCGCCGAGCCACAGGACCAGCTCAGCCCTGGGCTGTCGTCACCTGTTCCAGCGCGGTCAGGCTGATGTTTTCCCTTTCCTCAATTTCTGCAAAATTAAGCAGCCCAGCTGGTTAATTCTCCTGAAGCTTTACTGCAGCAAATTGGACTTCAAAGGGAATTGAAAGCGACTCTTTGTTTTTAATGGTCCCCTTGCTGCTCAGCTACTCCGCCAGCAGGTTTTCTGAGCCAAGAACAAAAGGAATTGCCACAGGTTACAAATAAATGAGATTCACCTCCTGCATAACAATGTCTGCAGACTGTTAACCTCTGTCTGCTGGCAGGAGTGAGAGTGGAAGCCCACGCAGGCTGCCACAGCTAGGGCTCCATTCTGGGGCACTTCATGGGAGCTTGCTGCTTGGAGCTGTGCAGGTGGCAGCATTGCAATTTCCCTGCCTCCCTCTTGCATGAACATACAACCTGCCCCAAAGCACTGCTTCCACCAGCATATCACTTCTTTTCCAAGTCGCCTTGCCCAGAGCTAGGCAAGATGAATGTTGATCAGATGTGTGCACATTAAATGTGGCAAGAGCCCTAAATCTTAACCAGCACCTGCAGGACCTCTGGTTTGTTCTCTCCAACTCTGGACATATGCTCGTCTCAGCCTCTCTGGCTCTGACAGGGATGGATGGAGATTCCCAGGCAAGAAGCTGCATCTGTCAGTTTGGTTATGTCCTGTGAACCTGCCCAATGTCAGAGGGCAGGAATGGCTATTTGGTGTCAGCTACACACAGCTGACAGCCTGTTGGTGACAGGAATGCATCCTGCTTGACCCCTGTGAGTTGGGCCATTGCATTCCTGGACTTCTTACCATCTAGTGAAACTACCTGGAGCTTGGAGAAGATGTACAAATCCTTTCTTTGCCGATTAGCCTGTATTAACCCTTGCATACTGTTGCCAAGACTCCAGCAAAGAGACCTGTCAAAAGCTTTGGGTGCAGGCTGTGGCCTCCCGAAATTCAAAGACACTGGCCTCAAAAAGGCCAGTGCAGGTGGCAGAGGAGCCAGCTTTTTCCTTAGGCACAGCTGACCACCTCTGGTACAAATAGCACGTACTGTGGCCAGGGAGAGGACGTTTGATTCAGTGCACCAAAGCAGTATCCCAGCGTGGCAGTGGTTGCACTGCTAAATTATGGTGCTGGTTCTGGGATAAGAGCATTGCTCCTTGCCTTGTTTGTATGGGCTGTAATTCACAGATCCAACACAAATCCAGCACAGCTCATTAACGCAGGGTCCAGGGAGAGAAGAGGCAGAAATAATGATGCCGTTAAATCAGGCTTCATGAATATGGAACAATGTCTTATTTTGCATTATTATGGCTGTTACTTAAAACATACTCCCTGCCTTTGTGCTGGGGATTGCTACTTTCTCAGTTCTGTCTGGATGGAGCCAGTGATGGTGCTGAGAAGGGCTTTAAAAGGCTTTTCATGGGAAGTTTTTTGGATCAGTTCCTGGAGGGAGGTGTAGTGAGAAGGATGCAGAAATAAAATAAACCAGAACCGGTTACTAGGGTATTCAAAGGAGAGGTTGTCTAGACTACTCTCAGTTCAGTTGTGCATGCAAGACAATCCCTGTGACCTGGTCTGTAGTCCCCAGTCTATAGAAAAGTGTATTTGACACCTATGGAAGTGAAGAAGGTTAAGAGTGGATGCAGAGCTGCAGTTCCTGCTCTGTTATGGTACAGACAGGTCCTGGTCTTGTGTCTGCTCAGAGCTGCAAGGGCCAGGTCCCTGGCAATGGCTTTGCCTCTCAAAGATGTCTAGTTGGGTGTAAGAGATGGAGAGGTATATCATGGGATGGCTGAGGTCCTTTTTTAATGGTAGACCTTCCCTAGAACTCCTTCCTGGAACAGCAACACTTTACGGGAGGAGTGGCTTAATCCCAACTGTCCTTGAACAAAAACATCTGTTGGGTTTAAGCAGGGTGTTCTGAGACAGACCTTTCTCTTTCAGCTCTCTATAGGGCTGAGCTCTGGTGGTCAGCCAGAAGGAGCAGGCTGTGACTGAGCATACACTTGGTGCTCTTCCTGACCTTCCCTTGGGATTGTGAGAACCGTCCAGCAAACACTGACATCCCAGTGAGCTTCCCAGCATGCTTTGGATTGGGTTCTGAGGGGCAAAGCTCAATCTGTGGCTGCAGCTTCCCATGTCTTGTGACAATGAATCTCTTGTTCTCCTGTCCCCCTTGTTTTTGTTGCTTTTTTTTCTCTTTCTCAGGGCTCAGTCCATTGTGCTGTTTCTGTTCAAGGCACAAGCAGACTAACTGTGATTCATACAATAGTGTTGCAGCAAGGGAGAGACAGGTACTCTACTAGGAGCTACCAGTTGAGCCTTTTTGCCAGTGCTGCTTCTGCAGGGCCTTCCTAGAGTCAGGGGAGTTAAACACAGTCAGAGCAGAAGTCATGGTGGCATCTGCAGAGGAGTGGTCTGGGTGCAGTGAAGGTAAGTAATGCAGAGCCACAGTGGCTTTTCATTGCCCTTCTGACTTGCTGCAATTGTTCCATCAGGAGTCAGAAAGCCTCTAGCCTTGGGTTTTCCACTGCCAGTTGTTGTCTGGTTGCCACACCTACCTATGCAAAGGGGCTCATCAGGCTTTTTTTCTGACCTGAGTCCTAAGCTATAGTCCTAAACCACAAGCAGCTAGCTTATGTCCCAGTTCTAAGCACTAGTGGTGGAGTGGTTTAGGTACCACCTCCAATTCTGGGGCAGTGTCAGGTCCTGTCTACACTGTTTCCTAACCATAACAGAGTGCTCTGACTCAAAGGCATGGTAATGATCATGCTTCATGTTCACAAACACCTTCTATTTGCAATGAATGCATGGATCCTTCCAGCTCTCCCTACTCAAACCAGTCATTTTCAAGAATAAATCCTAGAAAGTATGAAGCTGCACACAGAAATCGGATGGGTTTTTTTAAGCTCAGAAGTGTGCCTCTGTGTACTTTTCCAGCTCCACCTGCTCTGAAGCTGTCTGTCAATGAGACACTGGTGGTCAACCCTGGTGACAACATCACTATGCAGTGCTCTCTGACGGGTGGTGACCCACAGCCAGAGGTGGTTTGGTCTCACTCTCCTGGTCCAGTGCCTCCCAATAGCCTTGTGCAAGGAGGCAATCTCACCATCTGGAGGATCCGTGTGGAGGACTCAGGCTACTACAATTGCACAGCCATCAACAATGTGGGGAACCCAGCAAAGAAGACGGTGAATCTGCTAGTGCGGTGTAAGTGGCTCTTTGTCTCAGAGCATGGGGTTTTCAGGGTAGAGGGTCTAGATTTGCATTTTTTTCTGGCTGTTCTTGTACAGCTGAGGGTGAATGTGGAACTTAGCAGCAGTTAGTATTCTGGAGAAGTGCTTGAGCAAGCTTCCCTGCTCCCAGACCAAAAGCTGTGCTAGCACTGCTTGCAGCCTCATCCCAGGCTGTAGCACTATCCTGGACTGGAGAATGGTCCTAGACTGCCAGATGAGAGGCCTGGGGGACATTCTGTAGGAATGTAACTGGGAGAGGTCTTCAGACAGATTTTACATGGAGGTGGTGCCTTCCTGAGGAGCAAAAACTGTTGTCCTGTCCCATGCAAGACTTTTTGCTGTCCCTAACCATTTTTGCACTTCTATTCATCACAGCCATGAAGAACGCCACGTTTCAAATCACCCCTGATGTGATCAAAGAGAGTGAGACCATCCAGTTAGGGCAGGACTTGAAGCTCTCATGCCATGTAGATGCTGTCCCCCAGGAGAAAGTTGTCTATTCTTGGTACAAGAATGGGAAACCAGCCAGGTTCTCGGACCGGTTGCTCATCACCCGGAATGACCCCGAGCTCCCACCTGTGACCTGCAGCTTGGAGATTATTGACCTGAGATTCAGTGACTACGGCACCTACATGTGCGTGGCTACCTTCCAGGGAGCACCCATTCCTGACCTCAGTGTGGAGGTGAACATTTCCTCAGAGACAGGTGAGCCTCTGTGCCAGCAGGGGACCTCAGAGGAGTGGCTGGCATTGCGAACTGCCACCACCCCAATGCCTCTGGCTTTCTTGAAGGACGTGTATTGAATCCCAATCTCTCATCCTCAGGCAAGCATTTAGCTGAGCCTGGCGATGCGTTGCGCACCAAGCAGATACTTCTTTTATGTTTTCTCCCTATGAAAAATTCAATCAAAGCTGCAAGACAGGTTTACAATGTGTTGTTCAGAGAAGCCTCCAAATTGTGATGGAAGAAAAAGCAGGTGGCATTTTACCAAATTTCAAATGTCCCTTTGCTTAGAAGGGAGTAAAGAGAAAGAAAGCTGCTCTTTCCTCTCTTTGGCATTGCTTCTGAGGAATGTCCCTTTTTTCAGAGCTGTGGACAGGAGATTGGTATCATCCGTCATAACAAATTCTCTGAAGAGCTTTACTGTTTACTGGATTGCAACTACAATCTGTCTTGGGCACTCTCTGTAGGAGTCCAAGTGTTACAAATGCGCTTCCCCTCCCCGTTTAAAATCAGGGTCAAAACTTCACCCTATGGCTTGGTGAGAACAGGACTAATCTTTAAGTGCGCTAGTCAGTCGTCTCAGGGATTGACATACAGAATCTCAGGGCTGCCTTTTTGCTTCTGGGGAAGTAGTGAATCCAGCTCTGTTCTCTGTTACATCCACATCATTTTTCTGCCTTCCCAAGACCTAGAGGGTACAGCACAAAGCAGTATTGGGCCAGTAATCTGGTGAGGACTCCTAAGGGGAGCCAGCTGCCCGCAGATTTTGTCCTGAAATTTCAGTGAAAGTTTCTTGTCCATCCCTGGTTGTGCTGGATCCTTGGATTGGCTGGTCTCAGTCTTGATTTTGGACATTGCTTACTTCCACCCCCTCACCCCTGCAGAAAGTGCTGCAACTGCTTTTGATGCTTTGGGAAGCCCCTGTCTCACAGAAATGCTGGGGCCAGCCTGCTCCCAACAGGACTGCACATAGTGCTCATTAGCATCTGAGAGAGCAAGACCTGACTATGTCATGGACCCACTAAACACCAAAGGGTGCTGCTTCCCTTCATGAAAGGTATAGCCCTCTCCATGCCATCAGACACCAACCCAATTGGACCAGTAGGGAACAAAAACAGGAGAACCCCCAGTTCCGAGAACCCCCAGTTCCCCTAGGACCACCCCCCCCAGTCCTGGTCAAAGCTGGCACTCCCAGCCTTGTGAGCAGTCTTTTTTTGCCCAAGGTCACTAGATGGCAGAGTGCAGTTGTGTTGAAGCCTGCAAGGGTAGGAGGCTGCAGAGGGCTGGCGGACCCTGGGTGATCCCACCGAAAGGCTGGACATTGCCTGTTGGTGCAGGTGTTGGTCCAAGCACCAGCTGCTTGCTGCCTTAAAGGCAGTGGCAGGTTGCCTGTCTGTTGTAGGCTGAGCACTACATGCTCGGAGGGCAGGCTGGGGGGTATGAGAGCCTCTCTTTGGCAGCCTGCTCCAGTAGAACCACTTTGTGACCCAGGGAGTGAAAACCGCCATCCCTGCCAGAGCGGCCTTCTGTGCATCAGCCAAGAGATCCCCACGATCAGCTACCTCCAACATGTGGTTCTGACAAAAAAAGCCAGTGGGTTTTCCTCCAGCCACAGGGTTGGATCAGGAGGGTGACAGCAGTGGCTCCATGTTTCCCCACTGGACAAAGCCTGAGCTCACCAAGGTGGCTGCCTCCACTGAGCGGCTCCAAGGAGATCGCTTTAATTAAAAAACATCTTCAAACGCAATTTACAGCTTTTCCCTGTAGAAAAGAGAAAATTGCCTCTCACCAGGTGAGCAGCTGCTGGCAATGCCGGCCACTGAGAGTGCTCTTGTCCCTTCGCGCTGTGCGGGGTAAGGTGTGATGAGGTTCCCCAGCCCACAGGAGACCTGTGAATTGAAAATGTGGCCTCCCTCTTGCATAGGGAGACTGGGCTGGAGCTATCCTAAATCTGCTTATAAAGCAGCTGTGAGATATAATGTGCACAGGTACTGTAGAACACTCTCCTTTGCTGGAATGGAATTGAGCTAACATTGGTCAGACCGGCTTGTTACAGCCTCTGTAGTTCTAAATTTTGATTTAAATGGAAACGAAATACATGGCATTTGCAGTTACAGAAGTGTCAATCCAAGTGTTGCTGCAGTCAGCAGAAAAGGCTGAAAAAGGAGCTATCAGAAATTGATCATGGCCGTATTTACCCCGGCTGAACTGTTAACTCTGAAGCCTAATACAAATAAAAAGGCAATATTACATAGGTTTTAGTACAAACATTCCCTTCCTGGGTTCTTGCTGGTAAGAGCATGTGAACAGCAAACCTCTCCACACCAGCACCTTTTAGCTGGAGTTTTTGTGTTTCTTTCAAGCTTTGTTTATCAGCAAAGCTTTGTTGTCAGTTGATAGCTGGATGTTTCCTGAGTGTTACTGTGCCTCCAGCTCTAGCCCTGGCTGGACAGCAGTTCTGCTGTGTGAGCTCTTTCCAGTCTGGGAAGTGATCTTTGCTGGGATTCACTCTCATTCACTTGAGCCAGAGATAACCAGTGTGCTCAGAATCTCAGTGTAGAGTAGGCAGAGATGCTTAACCAAGCTGGCTCCCTGCTGTAGTTCAGGAGCAAACAGGGATCCTGGATTTCTGGTAAGGCTGGAGATGTGATCAGCAAGCACTAATCCTGTAAGTTTGGGGTTTGGTCTGACCTGGGTAAGGAAACTAGATACCTTGGCAGATACGACTTTAATTTCTTGGTCAAAAGACTGCAGTTCCACTTGAGACATTCACTAACAACCAACAATTGAGAAATGGATCAAAGAGGCTTTTGCCTTTGGGTTTCTCAGAGCTAGCCTTCCTCATCGTCCTCCTGGGCAGCATTTTGCAAACAGAGGGATAGGGGCTGGGGGAATGGCCCAATACAGCTGGCACTTGCCATTGGTATTGGGATACATTTTTGGAGAAGCTGGGACTTTCCTTGGTACCCTGCAGGTCCAGACCCTGTAGGATGACTTAAATGGGCAGAGGTTGCACTGTGTCAAGTGGAAACCTTTGGAGTTAGGGCTTTCGGTGTGACTCAAACACAAACATCTCAAGAATGTTCCTTGCTCCTTGGAAACTTGGTGTAAAATGATACCTTTCTTGTCTCCCTTTTAGTGCCACCAACCATCAGTGTCCCTAAGGGTCAGTCCACCATCACCGTTCGGGAGGGCTCCAGGGCTGAGCTGCAGTGTGAGGTTCGAGGGAAACCCAAGCCACCCATCATCTGGTCCCGGGTAGATAAGGAAACTCCCATGCCTTCAGGGACAATGACGGTGGAGACATACGATGGGAAGCTACGCCTGGAGAGTGTGAGCCGAGAAATGAGTGGGACCTATAAGTGTCAGACAGCCAGGTACAATGGCTTTAACATCAGACCCCGCGAAGCCATGGTGCAGCTCAACGTTCAGTGTAAGTAGTGCCTGTCTGAATGCCTGTGTGTATTAAAGCCTGTGGGCTAAGCAGGGCTGACACACTCAGTGCTGCGTTTAGGCATAGTCAACCTTTCTTACTGGGCTGAGCAGACACATTTTTCTTGTCTAGGGACCTTTGAACAGTTTGTTTAATTGGTCTGGCTACACAGGGTTCTCCACAGGATACTGTATGGCCAGTGTGTTGGAAGTGGAAGGGAGATGTGTTGTCTATGTTGGTACGCAGTGCTTTCCATTTCCCTACCAGTGGATGAGTGCAGAACAGCAGCTTTACCAGGTGTGTGTTTGTGTGCATTGTGTATGGGTAAAATACCTTCAGGGTACATAGGTAAGTTTGTAAAGTCAAGCATTCAAAAGGTACCAAGTGAATGTTAATTAACCCTGCAATCCTTTCTTTAACTTAGTTACAGCAGCTGTCACTTCTGGACATTCCTGGAAAGCAAAGCTAGGCAGATTCTAACAGAAAGTGCATACTCCAAAAGGCTTCCATGCCATAAAGCTGTAACAGAAAACTGAGTTTTGGCATGTGGTGTATTGAGTGATTTCAGCAATGGGTGGTGCTGCCAGCCCTGCTTGAAGGCAATACCTGTGCACAAAGGTGAACATGGAGGTATGGATGCTGCAGATGTACCTATTGGGTGACTCTCTCCATCCTTTCCTTGCAGTGGTTTCTTCCTTTAGAGAAGTGAGTGCCTGCTAAGCTACCATGCTGTTGATTTGTTTTGACATGAGGGGGTCTGTGCTCTGTCGTTCAAGACTTTGAGTCAGACAGGGGGATGGCAGCTGGGTAAAATGCCTTGGTTTGAAAGGAGCTGTGACTGTAGGAATATCCCTCCCTCCATGCCTCCCTGTATCCCATCAGGATAATCTGATCGCTGAGATCTGGCAGAGTCCTCTGAGCAGCGTGGATTTAGCAGGTGTGGGATGTATAGGAAGCAGGTTAATTTGCACCCAGGCACACTGCCTCTGGGCTGTGAGTGCCGAGCCTCCACGCACAGCACAGCAGTGCTCATTAGACATGCTGCCACACTCCTCCCAGGCTCGCTCTTCAGGAAGAAGAGACGTGAGACCAGAGTGGGTAACCTGGCTGAAGCCAACCAGACACACTGCTCAGTCAGAGATGTGAGCTGCTGAGAGCACAGCAGTAACGGAGGCGTGCGAAATCCTGCAGGCACTTTGAGTATTCGGAGATGCCCTTTTAAAATTATCTGTGTCCATTCAGGGGCATGGCAGGAATTAAATTACAGGATGAGAACTGTGAAATGTGTGCAGGTTTCCATGCAGGTATGTATGTGTGGAGAAGCTTCCCTCAAGTAGGCTGGAAGTATGCATCTTGGTTTAAGCTGTTTTGGAAAGCAGGCTGGGCAAGGCGTATGGACATGGCAGGGAGAGTGACTCTTGGTCACCCAAGAACTGATGGGAGATGCAACAAAAATCTCTGTCAGACCTGCTGGTGTTCCCAGTTTGGCGCTGGTGCTTGAAAGCTGCGCAGTCCTCGCTGCCCCGCGTTGCCCCTGCAGAGGGAGCAGCAGTGCCGAGACTGGGATGAATTGAGGGTTACACCCAGTCTGGAGGGGGATCACACCACTGAATCTTGAGCTGGGGGGGAAGGACATGACTCCCCTCACACGAAAGATGGTAGCTGCGAGCCATAAGCTGTTCTGGAGCCTTTGGTGTGACCCCAAAGAAGGCACAGATGTGATGAACTTCTGTGTAAAGAGCAGCTCAACATAATCTTTCTGTAGCTCTTCTCAAGGCCAAGCAATGCTTTATTGTGATCTTGCCAGAGTAATGGTGGCATAGTCCATGTGGCAGCTCACCCAAATGTCCCTCTTTCTTTCTCCATCAGTTCTGCGTACCCTTAGTTGGAGCTAGGTGTGTACTGAGTGTTTGTACACTGAGCTGTCTCCTCCTGCCTGTAAACTGTGGAAGGACCTTACAGTGACACTGCCTGTTCTGCTCCTGAGTAGGCAGCTTTGGTTTCCAGGCTGTCAATTTGCTCCTTCCATCAGCATGAAAAACAAACTGCAGACCAAGAAAGTAGGGCAAAGGACTGCCCTCGTCTCCGTTATAGGCTCTCACCTTTCCTCCCACACAAAACAAAACCTCAGCAAACAGCACAGTCCCAGCAGTTTTTCCCTCTCCTCCCTGTTCATGCAGCTAGAAGGAGGTAGTACCATGGCAGGAGACACTGTGGTTAATTGAAATGCTGCTCTCCAGCACAGGTAGCTCATTAGTCTGGTGGCTTGCTCTGGAATTCTCATCTTGTTGGAAATGGAGATTGTGTGGCTCCTGCAGCCCCTGTGATGAGCACTTCCCCCTCCTCCCCTAGCCCATGCATTCCCTCGGAGAACCACTTTGGTGGGGTGTGCATCCGCACAGGCATGAGCATGTGTGTGAGTGTATGCAGGTATGCCTCTGTTGGTGTGAGCTCCTTTTGAACTGGCTCACTTAAGGGAAGAGCAAATTCTGGGTGATAATGTGGTTGTTTCTCTGATTTGCACTAAAGCTGAAGTTGCAAAATCAATACAACAAATCTGATTAGATGTCAGAACCTGTTTCTGTTTCTCTTTTCTTTTTCTCCCCTCACCTGATGCATATAGTGCTGTATCATAACAAACTAGCCCAGAAATAGGCTTTTTCAACTGCACTGCAGTAGTGGAAAGAGAATAAAAACACAAAAAGACCAAGTCAGCTGTCAGGAAAAAAAAAAGTGTTTGGGTTTTTTTATTATTTTTTTATTTTGCAAGCAGAAAAAGCTGCTCTCCTTTTGTCTTGTGAGCTGCAATTGTCTGTCACGAGCTCAGAGAGGCTGAACGTCTTGGTCTGAACTGTAGTTTTGGAAGATTAATAAGTTCATGAAAGTCCTTGCAGCCTTATAGCTCTGTGGTTAAGGATGAAGAAATGTTGTATCCTGGTCGGAGACTGGGCTTGTCATAACTCCTGGGAATCTGGCTACCACTTGGAGTGGCAGTGTCTTGTCATGTTTTTCCCATACCTTCAAAACAGGAATAAAACCGACCCATCTCTTCAAGGATTTGTGGGGCATAATAAACATAGCACTTTGAAATCTTGGAATAAAAACAGTAATGGAAGAGCAGAGTGCTGCTGTTAATAATATCAGTGCTATTGCTGATGCTGTTGTCAAGGCTTTTTTTCAGGACCAGGTACTCGCTCAGAAAAATCCCAGTGGAAAAATGAATTCTCTGCAGAGGTGGGTTTAAAATAAGGGCTGGGTCACCCTATGTAGGTAAGATAGAATAAGGCTGTAAAACACACAGTGGGCTTGAAAATGTGCAGCACTCTGGATTTTGGAATACAATGTGTCATCTGAGCCAACGTATATGAAAGGAGGAAACAAAGAAAGAGTGTATGTGTGAATCAGTGAAAACAATGCTACCTACATATAAATTTAGGAAATGCATAATAACAAATTGGAAAAAAAATTACTCTATTACTCCACTACTCCTAAAAGCCTGATCAAAATAGCATTTCCATGAATTTCAAAGATTAGTAGTGACCCCAAACTCTAGCTGTTGCTACAACTGGCCTTTGAGATGACTGTCATACCATGTGAATTTTACTCTGTTGAAGCCACATATAACAGTATGGTGTAAAATAGCTCTCCTAGTACATTATCCTGCTGGAATGATGTTGTGCTAGCTCTAATGCTTTGTCAATTCTGAATAGCATGTCGTAACCTACTGCACAGCTCAGTGAAGGTCCAGCTCAGCCCTGCACTGATTCTAGCTGATCCTTGATATACCTACCTCAGTATCTTCCCACAGATAGATAGGTTTATTCTTCCTCACAGCACTCAACTACTTGCTGTTTCAAACCCTTGCTCAGTCATCTGAATGGGTTCTCCCTCTTTGGATAGCTACCATAGCCTGGTAGCAGAGTACCCATCACCTCTGTCAAGAGATGTTAACTAGTTCACCAAATTCTGATGATTAAATAAGCAGCCTTTTGCTGGTGCCCTTTTTGTCTTTGGCAGAAATGCTGGTGTCTCTAAGTGTCCAGAGAAAGAAGGAAAAAGGGAAGAGGAGATATTTACATAGGGTTGACCTTGTTTTGGATAGTCAGGTCTGAAAGATGATCCTGTTTCTCATCTTTGGGTCACACAGCAGGTGAGATCTTGGCAGAATGAAAGACTAGATAAGGAATTAACCTGGGTATCTCCTCCCCTGGAAGGACATGGCCTGTGAATTTGTTCCCCTCTGGATCCAAAATAATAGTCCACAATCGTCTGAGATTGGTCTCCAAATGATTATACTTATTGCACTTAGGTAGATTTTTGCCACATTAAGCAACAGATGGATTATTGTGCTTTATCTTCAAAGCATAGTGAATATTAGGTGTAATCAGGAAAACAGACTGTCATTCTCTTTGGAGTGCAGTTATCATGGTTACTGGGACTTCAGGAGCCACTGCGTAGTCCTGGATACAGGGCTGGGAACCAGCAGATCTGGCTCAGCCCTGACCTGGGAGGCAGCCAGAATATGTCCTGCTGGGGCATCTGTTGCCCTTGTCACTTAAACTAATGTTCAGGTGGGCACAGATATGTTTTCCCATTCAAGCTCACACACTGGCAAATGTTATTCCTGGTCACATGCTGTTGTCTCATTTCTCTTTAAAATCCTGCTGAACCCATTGGCAATGCTGTAGATCAGGAAGGAAACAGTCAGCATCAATTTCACCTGTTTATCTATGTAGCAAACAGAAGAGCACAGAGGAGAGGAGGGGGAGATGCTGTAAATAAGTAAGAAGCATTGCTGGATCCAAGCAACTGGAAATGGAAATGCATTAAACTGTTTCAATCAACTGTTGAAGTCATAGCTCTCTGTCAGTGCTCTTGCTGGTTCCCTGCTCCCTCTGAAACATAAGCCTTGATATTATCTGCTCCATTAAAAGTGCTCTTGAGACATGCTTTTGGCATGGAGATGTGTCTGCAGAGTGGCTAGGACTGGGCTTTTGGCT